GTGACCATCACTTAACAAATACTGAGTTTATTAATTTCCCAGACTTATAAAAGAATAAAAAGTGGGAATTATTTACTTTGTTATTATATGAATAAATCATTTTGGTCAATGCGCCACTGAAAAAAAAGAAAAGAAAAAGAAGTCTGCTGAATTTCTTTTTTAATGAATCAATCACCAATGATTATCTGCCCAATGTTAGCAGAATAAGTATTCTGCATAAATAAAAAAATGCTATAAGAAGAGGTGTTACTTCCTGCCACCTAAGAGAAGTAACATTAACTTAGAAACCACCAACGAGGAAGGATTCAACTGCTTCTGACCACTACTCTATACTCTGTCATTTTTAACGAGGAGGGTCCATTTATTGAAAAAAAAACAGGATACTGATAAACGTTGACAGCTACGAGACTGGAGAACATCAAACATTCCACTTCATAATATTTATGCCTGGTTGGTGTACTGAGGTCTTTAACATAACACTTGATAGAACCTCTTTTTAACAAGTTCCACCTCTCTTTAGAAAAATAAAAAAGAACAGAAGACAAATATATAAAGATATATGTCTTCTGGGTTGTTGCACCATTGCATCACATAGTCTGGTAGATGTTTACTGATGTTTCAGAGGTGCTTGCCGCCTCCATCATCAGGGTGATGAGCCCTCTGAGATGCCAGTAAACTTCTACCAGACTACATGGCGCAACAACACAGAATACAGCCATCTTCATAATCGCTGCTGTGAGAACCTGAAATCTCAAATATTATATAGTATCAATGTATCACTACTACAACCTATACCGCACATTCCAAAGTAGAGGTGTGATGTACAAGGGCTGTGCAGTATAAATGTGACAATCGTGTGGGATCGGTTGTCAGATACTACACAACAGACAACATTTAGTAAAGTACCTCACAGCTGTAAAACACACTATAGAAAATAAGAAGTTTCGCAAGGAAAACCATATCAAGAGTCTAAATTAGTGCTTCGCATATTTAGTTACTATCTTAGCATGTTTTAAGACAACTTCCAACCTAAACACGTGTTTAATGATGTATGCATGGCTGAAAGAACAGTTTCAAAATTTTCTGTTATTCCAGTCATGGCAAGTTTGGGACAATGCTCTAAAATATTTATAAGTATGAGAAATTAAACTGTAAAATAATAATAAACAACATATTGTGGAAAACTGGACAAAAAAGGGAAAGACTTTTACATTCTCAGAGTTGGTCTGAGAGAATATCATTAACTAACATTTTGCCACTATCATCATAATCATCATTGTCACCAACATATTAATAAATTACCAATAATTAATTTAAAAATATTTATCCAAAGACACAATGAAAGAAATAACACACAAATATCATAATAAGAAAAATCATGCAAAAATCATTGCTTAACTGGCAACTGATGTCTATGTTAGCTACATTTTTAGATGTGAAAAAAAGGAACTAGCATTACATCCACTCCTGTGAACCTGGTCCGCTTTAGAATGATACAAATCCAAGGAGACAGATGTAGTTACTTTCAC